AACATAGCGTTACCTAAAATAGATGTCATTCGCGTGCGTGATTGCAGAAGCAAATCTTTAGGTTTGGTAAATTCATACGAAGAAAAAGTCATGCAAATAATCGCTGGACAGATAAAGAAGGAGATGCTCAATGAGAAGAAAAAGGAACAGAAAAATACGAAAGAAATCTTCAAGAACAACAAAATCTGTTTCACAAATCAAAAAGCTCATGTTTTTGCTATATCCGTTCTTGCACAAACGTTAAAATTGAAGACCAAGCTATGGTGGCCCGACTTGACTCCGCCCTTACAGGTCATGGCTACCAATCACCCCTCTCTCTCAACTTCTATTTAGGAGAGTTGCGTAACGGAAATTTTTTTCTTAAAAATCGTGAATTGAAAATTCTTTGAAACGCTGTAAATCGTAAATACTTCTTAGAAATCATCTGTTAATAATCACTTTGTGCATGCAGAAACCTCTTAAGTTGTGGCTTTGGATAAATGACGTTTTGATATAAATAATGTATTTATAGCAAAAACTTATTGAGAAGTTCAGGTCAAGAACTCTTCTTTTCTAAAATTAAACGGTGACTTGTGACAAAAAACTTCAGAATGTTTTCGAAACGATGCAGCGCCATGCTTTCGAATTACAAGAAACAATAACAGAGAGTGTCTGGATAATAAATGGGAAAGCTTATACCAAAAATAGAAAGCTTACAAATCAAAGACAAAAGAGATTGCGAAATTGCGAAATAATAAATTCTTCTAAAAACATTTTTGTACTTCATCATGCAGGCATTCTATGCATTCCTGCATTCCCATAGTTTATTTTTAACGGTATAGAAAGGGAATTCTGAATTGCAATAATCCAGACCTCAAAGATAAATTTTCAAAAATGCCATTGGAGCGCGCTTCACACGTAGAAGCTGCATTCAGTACCCATTTTTTTACAACTTACGAAAATTTTAGGTTGTAAATCCTAACGTTTATCGTCAAAGCTACTTGCAGTGATCTAACTACAAGAT